TGGGGGGGGGTGCGGCCGGCGCCCGCCCCTCGCCGTTATTCCCGACGGCACCGGAGTCGTCGCGCGCAAACGCGGCCCTCCCTGTGCGAGGCCGGCGGCGTCGCCGTCCCCATCGTCGCCGCGAGGAGCAGCGGGCACGGCTGGTGACGGCCCATTATTACTTTTGGTACGCGCTGTGACACTTCAAACTCGTACCGTGAGTAATAATGCGCTGTGGCCAGCGCCGGCGGCGCGCGGAAGGCGCCCGGCAGGACGGGGCACCCAGCGGAGCCTGCACCCCCTGCGCACGGGACACGGCGGTCACCGGTGCCGAGGGCTCTCCTGACAGCACAGGGGCAAAAAGCTGGGCTTTTCCCCAAGCAGGTGCTGCCCTGGGCGACACTTCAAACTCGTACCGTGAGTAATAATGCGCTGTGGCCAGCGCCGGCGGCGCGCGGAAGGCGCCCGGCAGGACGGGGCACCCAGCGGAGCCTGCACCCCCTGCGCACGGGACACGGCGGTCACCGGTGCCGAGGGCTCTCCTGACAGCACAGGGGCAAAAAGCTGGGCTTTTCCCCAAGCAGGTGCTGCCCTGGGCGCCTGGGAAAAGCCCACTTTGTTCCAGGTATTCCAGTGGGAATTGGAGGCTGGTTCGTGCTTCGGGGCTGGTGCCGGGGATACGAGCGGGATACATCCTTGCTGCACTGCTCCAGGGATCCTGCACGGGGAAGCAGCTCCCTCCCCTGCACTTGGGCAATGGATTTTGCACTCACTGGCCCTGCTCATTTTTTTTTTCAGGTCCGTCCAGTGAAATGAAGGAAGAAATGAAAGACTTGAAGGCCAGGGTGGAAGCGCTGGAGCAGGTGAGCGCCGCTGCCTTCCCTCCCTCTGCCCGCGGCTGTGCGCACAGGCGGACACAACCCCCAGCCGGGGCTGTCCCTCCACCCCTGCTCTGTTTTTAATGTCACACCGGCCTCGTGCTCGCAGCGATCCCCGCTGTGCTGGGTGTCACCTGCCAGGTGACACCGCCGGGGGGCCGAGGACGTGTCCCCAGCTCCTCTTGTCCCCGCAGAAGCTCCAGTCGCTGCTGGCCCCCTTCCATAACCTCATGCCGTCGGCGCCGGACGACGTGGGCACCGACCCCATCAGCCGGCTCTCCCACTCCCTGCAGCAGCTGGACAGGATCGATTCCCTGAGCGAGCAGATCTCCTTCCTCGAGGAGCGCCTGGAGACCTGTAAGTGCCCGGGAATGGGATGGTTTTTAGCACCACACGTCGCCGTTTCCCCCATGCAGGGGGGCAAACCTCAAATTCAGCAGCATGTAATTAATAAAAGACGAGCACAAAGAGCCCGATAACTCCATTCCAAAGCTCCTCCAGGGCTGCAGCACCTGATTGCCCTTGTAGCAGCCAAAAGAGAGGAGCCTGGACCCACGGCCATGGGGCAGAGCAGCGGGAGCCTCTGCTGCAAGTCCTGGCTCCGCTCCATTGCTGGAGCATTACAGCTTCACACAGGATGAAATGCAAGGAAAGGCTGTAACTCCTAGGGAATTAACAGCCCAAGAAAGTCAATCAGAGCAGTGCAGGGAGCGTGCCGAAGCCGGCAGATTTACGAGCCTGGGAAGTCTCTAGGCCCGTTTCTTTTGAAGTCTGCAGCCCCATGGAGAGGGTTTATTTTGCTTCCCAAGTAGCAGACCCTGCAAGCAGCTTTAAACAGGACCCCCTGGATTAGGACAGGCTGCAAACAGAGCCACGGAGCCCGGGTTAAATCGCCCGGGTCCACGCGGAGGGTTGTGCGAAGCTTGTGCTGAATCACTGCAGTTTGAGGCACAGCTGGGCATAAAGCAGCTCAACACTTTGGTACCCAGGGCACGGGCCATGCCAGCCGTGCACATGTGTAAGGGGAACATCCAGGATCTCTTCTGAAGTCTAAGTGGTTGCAAATTGACACTTAAAAAGAAAAAATAACTCAGAAAAGCGTAATTAATCATCAAAGCCACTGGGTGTCCCAGCAGTGCATGCTTCCTAGCATTGCTCTATACCTATTATTAGTGACAACATTGAGCAATTTCAGCAGCGTCACACGGATCCACACATGGATTTAGTCCAAGGAATGACTCCCAAATCCTGAAATTGGCCTCGGCCAAGGCTCCTCCAGCAAGTTCAACTTGCTTTTGTCCTGCTCACGTTCTCGAGGGTCCCTGCAGGCCCCGCGGGTGACGTTTCGCCCGTTTGCAGGGCACCCCCAGGGCTCTTGCGGGCGAAGCGGGGACCATGGCAGCCCCTGGGGTTTCCCTCCCATCCACTGCAGTGGGTTTTCCCGATGGAATTGCGATCGCGGCCGCTCTCCCGCCTGGCACTGACGGGCAGCCCGTGCCAGCACTGTCCCCGCGCGGGGCCTTTTACAGCGTTTCCCAACCCCACACTACGGTGTCACCCCACCCTGCAATTACCTGCTCAGCGCAGGTGTGAGAAACGTTTCATTTCCCCTAACCCGCCAGCACGAGCGCAAGGGCTAATCTCCTCAAACCATAACAATTTTAGCCCTTCTAAGCCTGAATTACTCTGTTCCGCACAGGCTGTGGGTTGTAACCCCTCTGCTCTGCAGAGAGCCAGACACGTGGCTGCATTTGGTGCTTTGCAGAGCCCAGAAAAATGGAATTGAATTCCCTCCCAGGGCTCCTGTTTGCTCCAGAAAGGGCTCAGCTGAGCTGGGAGAGCAACAGGGTTTGGCTACAGTCACTGCTGCCCGGCTGGGTCCTATCTGCACCTTCCTCCAAAGGCTAAAACTTGCTGGATGCAGCCTGTAGCAATGGGGTGTTGTCGGTACAGGTGGACAGATCCCCGCAAAAAGCTGTTGGAGAACAGCCTAATGCTGACAGATGCTGTCCTGGCCCTTGTCAGCCCCAGGGACAGGAGTCTTGCGTTACCCACAGCACCGGCTGTTGTCACCAAGCTGAACCCCGGATAACAACTCCGTTGGGTTTCTTTTTTCCACCTTTCCAGGTTCCTGCAGGAACGAGCTCTAGCTGCACGTCCGAGGGAGCGGAGCAAGATGAGCACATCCAAACCTCTCATCCTGACTGCAGAGACATCGCCTCCTCTTCGGGAAGACACAGGGTAGCAGGAGAGGCTGGTTTTCCAGGAGCATCTCCATCGTCTCCAACCTCAACGTACCGAAGGTC